GGTGTAGGGGGCACTGGGGTAAGAGATGGCATAGGATGCTGCCAAAAGGTATGGAGACATTTGTTTCACTCATTTAGTGAAACTAAAAAATATTTTATCATTAAAACATACTGCTAAAATTGCAAAGTCTAGAATATGCCAAACTGTTACTGGTCATGTTTTGTTCTGTGTAGGAATTGGGCCAATAGTCATTCAGATCAAAGCAAATTTCTCCCACCCACCCCCAATTTTAAAACCCCATAGGAAATAAGAATTTTGTTATACTCAGAGAGCAAATCTTAGTTTCAAAAGATACCTTATAAACTGACCCTTAGAAGCCCACTCATCCCTTACTTATTACAGCTGCATATTTTCATACAGCTCATGCCCACAGTATCTGCCCTCCCTCTTGCCAGCCAGCCCACAACTATAAACTGTGTGACACTCAAATTTATCTACCTCAAAAGAATAAAGGGCTGAGTCAACCCTGTCTGGATTCGAAAAGCACAAGGCACTGCAATACTGGCTGCATAACAATGTTGCAATCCTGCAGATTACTCCAGGATGGAGAGGGTGTGTCCTAGAGGACTGAGGCAGTTTCACAGCCAGCAGGACCACAAACACAGCCTCCAACACGGCTCAGAGAGCCTCCTCCAAAAAAGGGCACTTCATCCCTAAGGCTCTTAAATGCAGCTTCTGTGTTAGAAAAGGCCTGAAATTAAACAATGGAATGCAGTTTGGTAATTAAGGTAGAAAAAACATTTAAGTGTTTTCTATTCAATTAATGTGTAGGATAAACTGATTTATTGTTACCCAATACTGTCATTTCTCAAAAGGATGTATATATTTTTAATTTGAAGTAGATGCCATCTTAAGAAATAAGGACGGTATATCCCATTCTGACCATAGAATCCACAGATGATGTGTGCAGGCTTATCACCTCCCTAAGACTGCACCTTGGAACTGGAAAGTCTAAAAAAAAAGAAATGATTGCTGATACTTTCCATTGTTCTACACATAAAGTTTCACTGGAAAATCACACTCACCCACAGCCAAGGCAGGCAGCTTACCAATTCAAGGAAAGAAAGCCCCAGTGAGAATGGTTCTGTTAGGAACTGGCGTGAAGAGCGTTCCACCCAAGGCCTGGGGGCAAAGGAATGATGTGACCTCCAATAGCTGCCCAGTCCAAAAGCTGCTTCTCCCCCTTTAAGTCCTGAGTGACTGACTGGCTCCAGAACAATTTATTAAATCATTTGGCTGCCCACAGTGGGAATAGGGCTTTGCTTTTAATTATATGAATCATTACCTGAATCCATGCAACCACAAAAATTTCACTTACCAGGCTGTATCTTCCATAAATATTCCTTCTCTTTCTAACTGCATAAATAATTCTCCTCCTGTAAAGAAAAGGAAAAGACATTTGAAATAAAACGATCTTTATTTCCAACCCATTTCTAATGAGAGGGTTTGTGCTCTCCTTTTAACCATAATTAAAAGACATCAGCCCCTTAAAAATCAAAAAAATCTTCAAAATTATAGGTTTAAAACTAAGTCCTCAGAATTCTGCTTTTAGCAGTGTTCTTATTCTTATGTGAAATATCTAAGATTTGGAATTCTAGATTTTTATACTTATAAACTTCAAAATGTTTATAGGTTCCAGATTGGAGTTAAAGAAATTTTGATTAAAGCTTCTCTAACATTTTACCCATAAGTAGAAAAATGTTAGTACATGATTAAAATCACCCTTGCAAATTAGAAAATGTCCATATTCTCATAACTCTGTCAGAAACTAGATGAACCTGGTAGTGGCCTTTTAAAAAGCATGACATGATTTGAATATCAAAATAAATGATTAATAAAGGGTTATATCCTACTGAATAATCTTAGAATCCATGAATTCATAGTGATATAAATCAAATAGATAAAGTTTTAAAATGGGGAAGAAGGAAAGCTCTTCATTCCAGCTGAATGTCAAATAATAAATGAAGGAGGCATGATGGAATAAGAAAAATCACTTGGCAATCATCATAATTAACTGTTTCAGGCAAGAATCAATAGATGCTAAAACTATGTGAAAGCTTGATATGTCAAGATAATTATAAAGGGCAAACCTCACCAGGGTAAAAACTGGCAGACACCAACTTACACATGTGGTCAAACTTAACATCAACTTTACTGGAACAAAGTGATGGAACAAAGATACAAACATATATATATCATGTACCTCCTAATCTGATACACAAAGAAGGAAATAATGTTACTTAGATGGCCTTCCCCAAAATGCATAACCTGAATCTAATCCTGAGCAAACAATGATAAGCCCAAATTGATACGTTCTATAAAATAACTGGCCTGTAAATAATGTTACTTAGATGGCCTTCCCCAAAATGCATAACCTGAATCTAATCCTGAGCAAACAATGATAAGCCCAAATTGATACGTTCTACAAAATAACTGGCCTGTACTCTTTAAAAATGTCAAGGTCATGAAAGACAAAGAAAGATTGAGGAACTGTTCCAGATTAGAGGAAACTACGGAGATATTATTGTTATTATTGTTAATATCCTATTTTTAATAATTTTAGTTAGTTATGCAAGATACTGTCACTGATTTCAGAAAAAATACACTACAGTATTTAGGAATAAAGGGAAATCATATCTACAACACTCTCTTAAAGAGTTCAGAAAAAATTATATATGTATTCATTTGTGTATATACAAGATATATACACACATACATATATATACACATACATAGAGAGAGAAAGAAGGATGAAACAAAACAACTAAAATGATAAGGCTTGGAGAAATCAAGGTGAAGGGTATGTGGGAACTATCTGTACTATACTTACAATTTTTTTGAATAAATCTATAAAATTATGTCAAAATAAAGTTACAAGAAAAAAATGGCAACAGTCACAAAAAAGTTACTAAATTCTGCAGCTTTCTCTTCCATGTTACAGGCTATTGGAAAATCTGTTTTTCAGAAAACTCAAGTGTGTTTGCTGGAAAACAATACCTATGATCTAGAAATGATATGAAAAGTGACTAGTTCCTAGGAGGTAGTAAACTTTGGAAAATGTGGATGATTTCTAATGTAAACTGCATAATCTATCAATAAAACTACATTAAACCAAAAAAGTCTTGTTTTAAGATGCAATTCCAAAAATACTCAGTATCTTAAACAATATTCTGAAGTAAGTTTTTCATTTCAGTTTAGAAAGAAACACTTTAATGGTTTATTTGAATTATAGTATCTTACCCAAGTGCAGTCAATTTGATGGCTCTGTATCAATTAGGTGTTTGTTACTTAGTTAAGTAATTGATAACAAAAGGATTAAGATAAAATTTTACAGATGGGAAAAAAACTTAACCTTTAAAATTTCCTTCATATTTATCTGAAAAAAGAAACACTTGGTCACATCTGAATTCCTTATGTCAATGTATTTGTCAATTTTAAGAACTATCTGATCACATTGGGAAAAAGCATTTTTCCATTGGAAAATAATGTTTTGACCCTTTTTCTGGAGCAAATGCAAATAATTACACCAAACTGTGTGTACTGACCGCTGAGATACTCAAGGATGAGGTAGAGTTTTCCACCAGTCTGAAAGGCATAAATTAAATCCACAATGAAGGGATGCTTTACTTCCTCCAGAATATTCCGTTCTGCTTTTGTATGAGCTGTATCTTTAGCATTTCTTACTATCATTGCCTAAAGGAAAAGAGATGATCTATAAGAACAAAATAGTAGACATTTTTATTCTGCAGTAACTGGAAAATCTAATTTGTGCTTTTCTTGCCAATATTAAAATATCAATCACAGTTCCCACTAGAAATTGAGATAGGGGTAAATGCAAGACATTTACTACTTATATACAGCTGTACTGTTTGGATTTTCTGTAGTGAACATGTAAATGAAAATCTAAAGATAATTTTTTAAAAATGTAAACAGCTTATTAAGTTTATTCATATATTCATTAACTGTTGAATGTCTACCATGCTCTGGGCTCTGTAACAAGAAAGCAAAACTAGCAGGAGTCTCAAGTCTAAAGGAGCCCAAAGTCTCAGGGAAGAGAGACAAGTCAATGGAGGTAAGCATAAAGTGCTATGGGTGAACAGGGGAACTGCATCTGACCTGGCAAGAGGTCTTCCTTGAGGTGGTCATACCTACGTTGTACCGTGAAAAGTTATTAAGATAAAATGTGGAGGACATTGAAAAGCATTCCCAGTGCAAAAGAGGTTTGTCAGGACACTTCTAAGGATTCTATAAGTAGTTCAGTAAGGTTACAAGTGGTTAGAGATTAGGAGGAGGCCAGGAAATGGAAGGCTTGGGCATCTAAGCAAAGATGTTTGAATCTTATCTTAGAGGCAGAAGAGAAATGCTGAAGTAAGGGAAATAATAACATGTGGCTTTAAGAAAGGCCATTCTAGTAAAAATGTGGAGTTCCAGAAAAGAAATGAGAGCATTTAGGAGGCCAATACAGTAAACTAAGCAAAGAAGACCTGTAACTAAGAAAATGAAGGTGAAAAAAAAAGAAAGGGTAAAGGTACATCATTAGCATTTGCTGACTAACTAGATGTGATAAGAAATAATAATACTATGGTTTCTGTGTAATAGGATAGATAATGGTGTCATTCAATAAAGGGAAATGGTTTGGGGAAAATGATGCATTTTTTTGGATGTATTAAATTTATGTCCTATTACTAAGTTCTGACGCACCTCCAGCAACATGAGAAAAGCATATATGCTAGGTTATTAGTTGCAATATCATTTTAAAAGTGAAACATTAGAAACAACCTAAATGCCCATGCGTAGCATTTGGCTGAAAACCTATGGACTAGCTACACAATGTGTAGAAAAGCTCTACAAAGAATGAGGAACAGCTCTACAAAGAAAGAATGAAGCAAGGTACAAAGGAGCATACATGACATGACAATATACACAGTATGCTACCTTTTATGTAAGAGAAAAATAAGAATATATATATATGTATCTGCTTACATCTGTAATGATAAACATAACTAAGATAAACCAAAGCTAAGGACAGTGGAAAGGTAGAAAAGAGAATGAAATTTACCTTCTGAGATATATACCTCAATGGTTTTAGCACTCATTTTTTTATCTTTTCTAAATCAAATATTACTGTGATTATAAAACGAAGATTTGAAATTCTGCACCATGTTAATGTTTTATACATTCCAAAAATAAAATTAAACAAGGATGAGGAAGAGAAATAAACTGAATACAACAGAAACACATATACATAACTGAACATTACACTGATAATTTTACCACAGGAGAAAAAAAGAAATTTAAACAATTTTACACTGTACACTCTTAGCGACATATGTAAGCATAACAAAAATAGCAAAGAAATTTTAAAACACCCTTTGTAGGTTTGTAGCTATTAATAGTACTGGTATAGCCTCAAACTATATTGCATATATTGTACAACTGAGCAAATGAGTAAATTTATCAATGTTATCAGGCTTTTCACTGTAGAAAAACAGATGCAAATATGGACTGAGGGAAGAAGAAGAACCCTACGGAACTGGACTGGGATTAGGGCTATCAATATGAAGCCATAATTTAAAACAAAAACAAAAACTTCCTAGCTCTGCCCACTGAAAGAGCCAGAAACAATGACATTTTAGTAGCAAGGAGTATAGCTGACACCTGTATCTTGGTTTCTCTATCAAAAGAAACCAAAGTTCCTTGGAGAAATGGGTGGTCCTGGGCCAGGGACAGGGAAAGCACAAGGTAAACCTGGACCACTCTACTGTACCAGAAAGCAAAGAAGATTCAAAAACTGACAGATATACGTTAAAAGAATATAGAAGTCATCTTAACAGAGCTCTCTCTAGCAAAATTTGGGACAATTTGAGGACCAAAATGAATAATGAAAGAAATGGATAACACACTAGGGAAAAAAAGTCTATATTGACACTTTTAAAATAATTAAATTTTAAAAAGAAAGTATGAAAAACTCTTATTTACTAATTATACTAATACAGAAATTATACTAATATAGAAAATTATATTAGAAGAATTATACTAATATAGGAGAATTATACTAATATAGAAAAAATGATAAAACTAAACAAGTCTCCATTTTATAATTACCATAATAATAGCTGATTTGGACAAGAAACAATGGATGATAAAACCACTGGGGAAAAGATTATTGGGAATATTCAGTCATTCCATATATACTTGTTAATTACAAAGGGAAGAAGGTATCTGTACAATGCAAAGTATGGTGGACACTACCTTAACCAAGTTACTGAACTCAATCTTACCAAATAGTAGGATAGACTGACATATGTGCTTCCTGAGCTCATGTACTGAGGATATAATGTTCCTGCAAAAAATATTTAACCTAAATTTAAAATGTGTTTTCATGAGGAAATAATGAAACTGTCCTGGGTTCTTCAAAAGAATGTCAATGTCATGAAACATACACACACACACACACGCACACACACACAAAGAGGAGGGGGAGTGGGAAATGGCTCTAGGGTAAAGGAAAATAAAGAGACAAGACAACTAAATTCAGTGTGTGATCCTTGATTAAATCCTGTATAGGTAAAAACAAAACAGCTATAAAGGATATTACTGACACAATTGGGAAAGTTTAAGTATGGACGATATATTAAAAAAACAGTATTGTGTACCAATGTTAAATTTCTCAACTGTGATAATTAACTGTAGTTATGTATGAAAATGTCCTTATTCTTAGGAGATACATACAGAGAGATTAAAAAAAAAAATTAAGGGCAAAGTATCATGATGCCTACAACTAACTTTCAAACTGTACAGCAAAAAAATAAAATTTTGAATATACATATACACAGAGAGAGAAGGGATGAAGGGTAGGGGGGTAGACAAAGAAGATATGGCAAACTTAACAACTGGTGATCTCTGTATTCTTGCAACTCTGGAAAGGTTGAAAAACCTCAAAGATATATTATTTTTTAACTGCTCAGGAAATTTGAATTTTTTAAATAAGGAATTTTTAAGAGAGTCTGAGAAGCAAGGGACTAAAAGGTAAGATGAAAAAGTAGTAAAGTAGAATTACAGAAATCAAGGAAGCAGTGTTTCAAAATGCTGTGGTCAATAGCTTCAAGATAACAGAGAAGTAAATTTAGGATGAATTAAGTAAAGACAACTGGATTCAGCAATTAAGAGAGTGGTGGTGACCTAGGGAATAAGAGTTTCATTGAAACAGTAGTCATTAAGTCAAAACATACTAAATGAAAATAAGAAAAAAACATAACGTATATCTTCTCAAGAAATTCAGCCATGAAAGCCAAAAAAAGGGAAAGCCAAAAAATGAGAAAGACCTCACGTAAAGGAGATTTGTTTTGCTAAATATGACAAAGACATGAATATATTTAAATTTAAAAAGTCAGGATAGAGAATGGAAAAGAGAGAAGTGACAGAGAAAAGACCCTGAAGAGGCAGAGAGGGATGGATCCAAAACATAAAGAGAGGGCTTGGCCTGGAAAAGAAGAAGGAACACATCTCCCACTAAGACTGGAAAGAAGGAAGTAAAGAAAGGTGAAAATGATGATAGATAAAGTACTGGGGGTAGGCATTAATTTGAGAAGTCAAAGGGAATCACATCTGACAGCCTCAAACAGGAAGTGAGGAAGAGAGGCAGTCTGCTAAAGAAGTAGAGGAACTGACAGTAAAGGCTCTAACGGTTGTAGAGAATGGGAGTTGTCTAGGGACATGTAGAAAAATGTCTGGTGAGTACCGAGGATCCAAATAATTGGGGACTATGAATCTGTTTAGCAGCAATCTACAAGTTTGTGTGATTTCTGCCAGTAATGCTCAGTAGCTAAGATACAGGAAAAAAGGAGCACTATCAACTAAACTAAATAAGATTAGGACTTTCCTGAACATAAGGTCAATGGAGGTAGCAAGTGACTGAAGTGGCAGATCATGCTGATTAGGCTGGATTCAGAATAAAGTGAAATAAGAAAAGGGCTATGAACTTGAGGAAAAAAACAGAAAAGTCAAAGAACTAAAGGGCTTAAGGGCCAAAGACCAAGATTATGAGAATAAAGAAGAAAGTTATTCTTCTATTTTAACCCAACATTTCAGAGGTAGAGGATACAGCCATGGGGGCTGTTAACGTGAAAAGAAGGTAAAAGCTAATGGAATTGAGATCATCAAAGAATCAGAAGGCTAGGGTATTGATTGTTCATTTAATACAAGGTCAATGAAGACACCCAGGATGACAAGACTTGGAAGTGGGAAGAAAAAGACTGATAAAAGGTGAAAGAGTAGTATATGCTTAAACCTCAAAGTAGACATGGTTTTGACCAAAAGGTAAAAGAGCAACTTTAAGAATAAGCTTATTAGGTCTACGGCCATGCCACCTTTAACGTGCCCGATCTCATCTGATCTCGGAAGCTAAGCAGGGTCAGGTCTGGTTAGTACTAGGGTGGGAGACCACCTAGGAATACCAGGTGCTGTAGGCACTAAAAAAATAAATAAATAAATAAGCTTATTAGTTCTTCCCTTGAATTATGCAGTAAGCAGAGTGAGAGGCAAACACTACACTTGTTTCAAATGCTAAATCCTAGTATCTAGCATAATGCCTGGCACATTGCAAATTCTCAATTGGTTCAACAAAAGGAATGGAAGAAGTATAACCAATCTATGAGCCACAAGTCTTTGGCCAAAGGTTCTAAAATTTACAGTGTGTACCAAACTAATGCCATGAGCAACAGCAGTTTGCTTCCAGGGTGTATTTTTGTTGAAACTGGTAAGGGAGAGATATACTTGTTGGAAAGAGTCTTTTCCTCAACATTCCACCATGAGTAAATACCCAAATGGGACCATTCATGTAAGAAGTATACAATCCCAGGAGAACCAATAAATCCAGACAGACTGTCCAGATACAAACAACTCATTTAATAAAAGGGGACAATTGGTTCTACTCTTATTCCATCTTCAAGGCTGGAAAGAGATATATTCTTACCACATACTCAGTTCAAGAGGGTTAGTACTCTCTGCTTCCAGGATAAAAAATCAGAAGGAAGAAACTCAAAGGGAACATACAGTCATCTTATCTAGGGATTTAGAAATTCAAACCCTGGACTTAACCCTAGCAACCTCTTTACTTCATTATTTTTGCTGTGAGCTTTTTTAAAGACAGTAGAAAAAAAGAATAAAACAGCATCTGATTCTTTAGTCAGGCCTAAAGAAAGAAAAACCCTGAGAGTGAGAAGGAGTAGTAACTAAGTAAAAGGAGAGGCAAGCAAGATAGCTCTTAGATGCCTGGGCCCAAAAAGGAGGCCTCACATTCAGCAGTAATTAAGTCTATGGACTTCCCAATACACCACACCCACCCACCAACAGTGGAAACAAACACCACCTTCCTTTTCATTACAGGTATCTGTTCCAGACACATACTTCACTCAAGATATAACTGTGATTGATTATGGTCAGCTCTGATTATCAGGCATGAATAAACAACCTATAGAAAGGAAAGGATTACTCTAAGAATCTTGACCAGTACTTAACATTTCTAGAACAAGCATTATCATCCTGTCTCCAATTTCACATCTAATATGGTTTACAAATAAAAAATCATTAATATCACGATTCCAAAAAAAAGCCAGACAGCAGAGTAATCCTGACTTACTGATGCAGAAATTGATATTCAGAATACCTAAACTGCTTCTTTAAAACAATCACCTATAAAGTGTGGTCATAGTATTTGTTTCTCAGCTTTTAAATTAAGAAGTTATACTGCTTAAGTAAAAATCAAGAAGGACCAAAATATTACGAACCCTATCATTTTTTTTAAAAGTCATTTTGATTATATTTTAATATAGTTTTCTACTAATACTTGTTTTAAGACAGTGTGATCTTTTCAGAAATCAAACCCAAACAAAAAGAACAAGAAACCAAACATACATAATCTATCTTCAATAAAACTAGGAAACATGTGTGACTCCACACTTCAAAAAGCAAAGACAGAATTGGGATAAAGCAATAATACATGACTTAAGTGGGATATGATCACTTAAATGCCTGCAAAGAGGAATAATTCAAAGAAGTTGATTCCATCTACAGAACCGTAGCAGGGTTCAAAAATCAGAGGCAAAAAAAAAAAAAGAAGAAGAAGAAGAAAAAAATCACAGTCATCAGGGACTGCAGAAGGTAGAGAACTAAAAATAGGGAGATTATCTGAACGTATGTATAGAGAACATATATACCAACAAGGTTCTCATCCCCACACTAACTAGGCAGGGAATACCATTCGGAAAGGTGTACCCTACGGGGGGTGGGGGGGAGTGAAGGATCAGATACAGAGTGAAATACTAAAGTAAAAACTCAACTTCAGTGAAAGTCTGCATGTTGAAAAATGAGATCTCCATCTCTTCTCTCTCATTCAGCTCCAGCGTGCTTTTTCTAGGCAAAGGAATAGAGGATCTTTCTCAGCCCCAACTTATCCATACTAGAAGAAAGACCTACAGACACTGATATACGGAAGTTCTCAGTCAATTGCCAGGTAACCACATGCCTACACTGCTGAGAATCTCACAGCACATAAAACTTCTAATTAGCTTTTCAGAGTTCCACTCTTAAATATGATCAATGAAGCATACCAGATTTCTAAGAAAACCTTTGACAGGGAAGAAAAAGATTAAATCAAAGTTAAAAAAAAAAGGGAACTTAGAAAAATGCACGGAACAAAAGAACATTTTAAAGAATTATAATCAACCTTCAGAGGGATAAGAAAAGATACTGTACTTCTAAAATAGGTTGTTATAAAAAGAAAAACAGCAAAAAGAACTCTGAGGAACCACAAATATGATAGCTAAAAAAAAATCAGTAAAAGGATTAGAAAATAAATTTCTAGAAAAATCTAAGAAAATAAACAAAAAGACAAGGAAATGAACAAACAGAAAAGCTAAGAAAAATAGATGCTAAAGCCAGGAGGTCCAACATCCAACAAACTGCAATTTCAAGACAAGAAAACAATAAATTATCAAAGAGATCATAAGAAAATTTCCTAGAGCTGAAAAATTGAAACTTTTAAGATTAAAAGAGTAAAAATAAACAAAATAATAAGAATCAAAGCAAGACACAGCAGTATAAAAATTTAGAACACCATAAATAAAGAGAAAATATTAAATATCGTCAAAGAAAATCAAATCTTAAAAGATTGGGAATTGGAATGGCGAGGGACTTCTCAAAGCCAGGCAAAAATGGAGCAAAATCCTGAGTGGTAATTATTTTCGACTTCAAAACTGCACCTACACAAACAAATATGAGAGTATAAGAAGGATATTTTCAAATATGCAATATTTCCAAAAAAATTTTCTTCATGCAAAGATCACAGAAAGTGGGAGAAAGCAAGGGAGGATTGGATTATGGGAGAGTTAACAAGATTATGTGTTCTCTTAAGGGTGATTTTTCTTGAGGGTCTGAAAAGAAGTATTTCAAAAGTATGTTAATTTAGGTACACAGAAACAATTAACAGGGCTTGCTGAAGGCAAAGATAAACCTTTTACTAAATTTACATGCCTGGGGCATGACTACTCTCCTTGACATGCCCAGTTTGGAATTTATGATCAGATCGCCCTGTCAGGTTACTTTCCATAGGACTCCTTTTTCGTTCACACTTTGTATGGTGTCACATGGGTACTACACTTATTGAGGTGATCACTTTGTAAAGTATATAAATGTCTAACCACTATGTTGTACACTTGAAACTAACGTAATATTGTATGTCAAGTGCAATTGAAAAATAAATTAAAAAAAAAATTTATCTTCATGCATCCTTTCTCAGGAAGCCGCTAGTAGATGATCACCAAAACAAGGGAACAAGGGCATAATCTAGGAAAAGGAAGATATGGGATCCAGGAAACAAAGGTGTCCAATGTTGAAGGAGCCAAGAGGATTCCATGCATCGCGGTGAAGGGAAAGTCCAGTAACGACAGCTATGTCTAGGGAGCTATCGGTACAGAAGGTTTCTATGGGACGTCTCTAGAAAAATAAATGGAACTGATAAATTATCTAATAAGTGTGACCATAGAATATTGGCCTGAAAAGTGTTTTACAGAGTTGTTGGAAAGTATGGGAAGACAATAGTAGATTCAATGAAATCAAAGCAAAATGAGAGGGTAAGAAGAAGTGAGGAAGGTGTAAAAGAGTAAAATAGGAAGTCAATACATAACTTTACAACTGCTGAATTAAGTGACAGCATTATATGCTTATTACTTAGAAATATGGAGGCCAGAACAAAGAGCTAAAAGTAACCTCAGAGAACTGAAAGAGCTCTCCTTTCCACCCTCACCAAGCAGAAATAAAATGGAAATCATAATCAACATATCTCATATTCTAAGGAGATTTACAATTGTGTTAAGAATACAATTTTTGACTAAGAATTTTAGGCCAAAATGTGGATTTTATAGCATTTAAGAATATAGTTTGGAGAAGAAAGAGGGGGGAAGGAATCACCTTTTTAAGCACCTTCATGGCAAATATTTTCCCAGTATTTGCTCCTGTTACTTTTCGTACTTGAAAAACCTGTACAAAAAATAAAAGTGTTTGTGTTATTAAACGCTAAGCTATGCTAGTCACACTCCCCTTTATTCCTATTTATAAAAACAAATGGTACAGTAGTTTATATTCTTACAAAAGCTAGTACCAAGAAGGGCTATGTGCAAAAATGAAGAGCTAAAAGAACAGACTATATTAAAGATTTAGTAGTGAAATGTTACGCATGAGACTGTCTCATTTGGTCTGCTGACATCTGGTGGCAAAGCTGGGCAATGATCATCTAATGATGAGCACTCCATGTTACTTTGTACTTAAAATCCAAGTTTGCTTAGAAAAAGCTATACTCGGGGTTCCCAGAAGCAAAATACAAAACTTAAAAATTATAAAATAGTCATAAATTTCTTCAAAGGATGCCACTGTTCTTGCTTCGCATAAAAAATAGTTGACAAGAATTACCATTTACCTTTTCCCTGAAACAGCTTGCTATAAAACACTTTCATGCAACAGCTAAAATATGTGAGGCTCAAAGTACATGTGCCACACATTCAAGATGATGAGAACATATTAGAATGTATCCTAAAGCCTAAGAATAAACTACGAATGTCACGCTTTGCAAAAATTAACACTACACAATAAATAATTCTCAAACGTAATCCTAACTAAAATGTTATCTAAATTGTCCTTTGATAGAGCATGGCCAGGTATAAATTTTCTCAGGCAGCCCATACAAAGGTGAGGACTTAAATTAGAAAGTCTTGGGTAAAACTACGAAACTAAGAAGTTCTACTCATTTTTCTTGTCTCTCACACTCTTCAACTTCCCTAAGTCTATTACTCTAGATACTGCAAATCAAAGAAAACCAATTCGGATTAAGTTCTCACTAACAGATAACAACTTAATATGCCATGCCTCTTAAAAGTAAGGAGTAGTTTATTTTCTAAGAGAATACTTATAGAGGGTACCAACTAACCAAAGGAAGAAAAGAATCCTCAAATAACAGACTTTGTCTAGCAAAGTTGTCTATTTATTTATTCAACAAATACTGTCTACTACATGCCAGGCTTTTACGTGTATGGTGCTAGGAAGAGAACTACTGTATATCCCTCAAATAATACAGGGCAAGTGATCATATCACTACCTTCGCTGACAGGTAGCAAACAAAAATTGAAGAGGACTAAAACCAGGGAATAACAATCATTCTGCCCAAGACAGACAACAGCTTTCATTTCAAAAATACTTCCTACCTTTCCATAGCCCCCTTTACCAAGTACCCGAAGTAGCTCAAAACATTCTGGTCTGATTTTTTCTGGCCCTCTGTTCACACTAGTTTCTGAGATTTCAAATTTCTCACAATGTTCCATGCCACTGGGGAGAAAAGCAAAACCAAATTTGCAAAAAGTTAAATTACTTTCAGCATACTGTTACAGAGAAAAGAAAAAGAAATGTAATCCAATTTAGTAACAGAAAAAAAAAAGTATCTAATAGCAAATTTAGTACCTGTGCTCTAAGTTAAAACTAATGATTCGATGACATGGTATGTCAAGATTAAGGTGGTTTGATAAATTGCTTACTTATCTGTTTGTTTATATAATGTACTATCAATTATTTTCATAGGCATCAAGCACCCCCAAACTAAGATAAATTAGAACAAGTTTATGATGTTGACAAAAGAAAAAGTCTTCCAGTTATTCAAATTAAGTTCACTTAAAATGTCTATAAGATTAGGTATTATCCAACCTCATTTGGCAACTCTAGCAGAAAACCTGGGAGTTTCTAGAAGTACCCAATTAGTTCAAGTCATTATGCTACAAAAATTCTTGCTGACAAAATATATTCACACATCTTCCATATCTGCTACAAGCTTGATTTAAAGACTCCAAAAAGGGTGGCAATTTTGTCTGACACTTAAGTGCTTTCTATATGAGTGATCTTCTCAGTCTCCCCACAACCCAAGAGTTGGGGTACAGAGTGGATTAATCACCATACTCACCTAATAGAGCTTACCTAAAATGACTTAAGATTGCACAAATCTCTGTTTGAATGGTGTATTACAAAAAGAACAAAACCATTTGACTTTTGGGGGCATTTCTAAAAAATTTATTTTTCAGTAAGAAAAGGTGGTTCTCTATATTAAACTAAGAAAAATCCCTAACCCACTCAGACTCATATTCAGTTCACTCTAAATTTTAATGAATATCTTTTTTCTCAAAATCCAAACATGATCTCAAACCTCTGGATATGTCATTATATTGGTACCAAACTCAATAAACCAAGTCTATGTATATATGACTAGATATTTCAGAACAGGTTACTGGAATCACATGATGACTAAAAACTGGAGCTGATATAACCTACTTGTAAGAAAGACAGCACAATGAAATCTTTTCATATAAACTTACAGTTCATATGGTCCAACTCCCCCATGGTCCATGCTTTCATTTAACTGACCCTGAAAAATATGTTAAAATTTTAAAGATAAATAATCTCACAAACATAAAACAAAAATGTTTAATGCTTCACCCCATTACTAAAAGAGAATAACAGATATCAGATTAAAAATTCTTTATACCTTAATAACAGGTAATGTGGTGATAAACAAAATAAGGTACACAAAAGAATGCCATGGAAATTTCACTTTTAATTTTATATGACAACTCAGCTACAGATGCTACTTACTCATTAATGACCTACAAATAAAACCAGGTGAGTTTTCCTTCAAAAATTACATTTATTCAAAAAATATATTATGCATATTATGAACTAAAGGTACTATATTCTAGTATGACTTACTAAATCTAATGATTCATACAAAGTGCTGTTCTGATACATAAGACTAACAAAATACTATAAGCCTTATGTAATTAGAACTTAACTAAGCCTAAGGTAACCACAACCGGTCCAAGATATTATAGCATACAATGTGGCTGATCAAAGCAAAATAATTAAGCAACGTTCTCAAATTGTTAAGAGTCATGTTGGACAAACACTTATTCAGACTACAGTATAAATGGATGCAAAATTTAATTAACCTGCTGTATACTAACAATGAACAATTCAAAAATGAAATTAAGATAACTCCATTCACAGTAGCATCATTAATAAAATACTTAGAAAAAATGTAAGAAAAAAGTACAATACTTGTACACTTGATAACTATAAAATATTGTTGAAAGAAACTGAAGACATTCCACATTCATGGATCAGACGGTTTAAGATTAAGATAGCAATACTAACCAAATTGCTCTACAGATTCAACTTAATCCTATTGAAATCCCAGGTTCCTTTCTTGCAGAAATTGACAAGCTGATCCTAAAATTCATATAGAAAAGCAAAGGACCCAAAAATAGTCAAAATAATCTTGAAAAAGAAGAACAAAGTTGGAGGACTGACACTTCCTGATTTCAAAATGTACCATAAAGCGGTAGCAATCAAGACGATGTGGTATTGGCATAACACAGTCATAGAGATCAATTATATAGACCTGAAAGCCTAGAAATAAACCTTTATACTTATAGTCAACTGATTTTTGACAAAGATGACAAAAAAAATTCAATGAGAAAGAAAAAAATCTTTCAATAAATGGTGCTGGGGACAATTGGATATCCACATACAAAAAATTAATTTGGATCCCTACTTCACACAATACATAAAAATTACCTCAATAGATCATAGACCTATATGTAAGAGATAAAACTATAATATTCTTGGAAGAAACCTAAGAGGGAGTAAATCTTCATAATCTTGGGGTGGACAAACATTTATTAAGACACATCATCAAAGGCACAAATGAATGAAGAACAAATCAATAAATTGGACTTGTTCAAAGCTTAAAGCTCTTGTACTTCAAAAGACACTATCAAGAAAGTGAAAAGAAAACTCACAGAATAAGAATACATAAAGAATTTCTACAACTCAATAATTAAAATAAACCAGATAATCCAATTTTTTAAAAGATAGGGTATGATCTACAAAGGTATTTTTCCAAAAAAGATAATACAAATGGCCAATAAGCACATGGAAAGACATTCAACATCATTAGCCATTATGAAAGTACAAACCAAAACCATTCTGAGATATCACTTTATACCACTAAGATAGTTAAAATGAAAATGACAGAAAAATAACAAGTTTGGCAAGAATGTAGATAAACTGGAACCCTCATACATTGATGGCAGGAATGTAAATGGTACAACCACTTTGGAAAAGTTTGTCAGTTTCTTCAAAAACTAAACATAGACTTACCATATGATCCAGCAAATCTACTTCAAGATATCTACCCAAGAGAAATGAAAATATATGGTCCACAAAGACAGAGGCGCAAATGTTCACAGCAGCATTATTCCCAACGGCCAAAAAATGGAAACAACTCAAATGAAAATCAACTGAAGAACTGATAAATAAAATGTGGTTGATCCATGTAACAGAATACTATTTGGCCATAAAAAGGAATGAAGGAGTGATACATGCTACAACCTAGATGATCCTCAAAAACATTATGTTAAGTGAAAGAAGCCAGACTAAAAAGGCCACATGTTATACAATTTCATTGATATGGAATGTCCAGAAAAGGCAAATTTATAGAAATGAAAAGTAGACTTGTGGTTAGCCCAATGGAGTTCAAGGTGGCAATGAAACTGTAAATGGGCCCTAAGTTTCTTTTTAGGGTCACAAAAATGTTCTAAAAGTAAATTGTGGTGATGGTTGTACAACTCGATATACTAAAAGTCACTGAACTGTAAAAATAGTAACTTAGCAGCAGAAATTCAGTTATATTAATATTAAAATATATATGGTTTTAAAATGAGTATTCTTGAATATGGTCTGATTATGAACTCTTTCAATTTATACAAAAGGATATCACTTAATTGAAAATGGGCTCTAAAACAGAAGTTAAGTTTTTGTTGAAAATTTAAAATAATTCAAAAAATATTTAATATCTTAAATATTTAAAAATATTTAATATTAACATCTCTCTTCAAAGGTACTACTACACAGTCAAGATACACAAAGAATACTGATAGTATTCTTACACTATGTATGTTCCAATGCCCAAACAAGTTTTTAGTCATAGCTTGCTCATGGTGTGAACAAGATGACATCTAACACCAGGGATGTGTGAGTCATGATTGGACTGAAGAATATGGATGGTCAGTATCGAGGGAAAAAAATTCTTGCAGTTTCTACTTGAAACAGTTTCTTAGGGGCGAAGAGTCAGGGTGGTTACAGCTAAAAGTTTTTTGGTCTCTGGGGTTTCATATAATCACCTATGATGCTGTCACTTTAAGAACAAAAGACTGACTTCTCTCAGCTATAATAAAACTGGTATTACATAATTGTTTCTTTCTTTAATGTTAAGTTTTACTTAATTCTAACTTAAAGACCACAGAGTAGTTAACACTGAAGCATGACTCTGAAGCCACCTAGAAATATATGCCTGTGGCTATGTTTCATTTCCGGAACTGGCCAAGCCTATATTAACACCTGCATCTATGTTCATAACTTCCTACAGTTACCTTCCGAAGCATTCTTTTCTGCTACTCAAAGTTACTCTTAGAAAAGTTTCACATCAGAAGCATTAAACTAACATTACATAATACATACTGACAACTTTTTTTTTTACAGGAATCTCTTTATTCAGATTTTTTTCTGGGGCCTTAAGCTTTATGACCCAACCAATGCTTTTTTGGTCAGCTACTATGATTGACAAAGTAGAATCTTGCTCTTCTAAGTATTATACAAGATACACAGTTTCAAACTAGCCTATCAGAATGACTATTTGCTGAGTTTTAAATTAAAATTGTATATAAATTCAACTTAATATGCCTCAAGTCCCAATGAAAGAGCTCATTTTATAAAAATTTAAATGAATTGTTACAGAATGGGTGAAATATTCTTAATGCAGGTATTCATTAAACTGCTTATCCACTTGCCTGGCTGTCCACAGACATTTCCTTATAATATAAAATTAAGTAACTCAGATGAGTGAGAAAAAAAGGATGAACTCTGCCCAAAATCTTGGGCTACTTAAAAACGCTTTTTGGTAAGTATTACAAGCAAGATAAGCACTGATAATGAGATTTTTCTCTATAATTTTTATAATAATGAATATTTACATGTATACTATCTATGTAGCACTGTTTTTTCAAAGCACTAAAACTTTTTAAACTTTTTGCTCATAAAAATCTGATATCCCAATCTGAAACTTGTGCAATAAGTTCTGTGATTACTTCAAATTTTGAATTAATAGAGTAAAAATTGAGGATTTTTACTACTGCATTTCAATTTTCTATTACTCTTTTAATTCTGTGTCTCCACAGAAAGCAGAGGTTTCCAACAATTTCAAAATGTAATGAAAATCTCTAGAGGAAAACTTTCCCTCAAATTATACCATCACCAGTAAACCAAAAAAAAAAAAAAAAAGACTTAAACCCAATCCCTCCTCAAAAAACCCTCTTATCCGTTGGTTTTAAAATAGTCCTTAGAAGTATTTGATCAGTGTCTTTTTTTCAGTTAGGTAGCAGACATTCAACTTTATGCATAAATGTATTAAATTACTCTTCTCATCTTCTACTCATTGAAGAATTAACGATATCATGTAAATACATATACTTAGTAATACAGATTCACTCAATGTAACATGCCTAAAAAGGCATATATCTCTAAATAGGACCAATGATTTAATTTTTTAAAAAGGATACTATTGCTTTAAAAATACAGCACTTCTTAGTATAACTGCATTTATTAAGTCTCTAGGCATAGATAAGAGAAAACTTGAATGATCAGTTCCTTGGCAATGAGTAACACTGACAAGCTAAATTACCATGAACCAGCTAACTGCTTAATATGCCAGGATATTTTTAAGAGTACTTTATATACTTTATCTCACGTAATCCTCATTTTATAGAGAAAAAAAAGTGTCAGAGATTAAGCAATTTATTCTAGGTCACAGTCAGTGAGCTTGGCTGGAAGGATTTGAATTCACTTTTGACACACCACAAAGAGGTACATTATGAACAAGACTAGTAAATGCGGTGAAGAAGCTGTACAGTGAAGCTTGTTGAATTGAGTCAGAAGACACTACCACTAGTTATCTATGTGGTTTTGGGCAATCGTCTCTCTGGCCTATGCCTCAGTTTCCTTACTATGAAAATGAAGAAGTGAGGCTACTTTGATATGTACCAATGTTTAAAAAGTTTGTGTACTAAAGGTTACACAATAGCCAGAATATAAATTATATTAGTATAAATTCACAAAAGTCTGATTTTTCAAAAAAATCTAAACTTCTCTCATTTTTCATAATTTTTAAATTTTATTTTAGAGGAACCTGGATGTCACCGAATCTCCTAAGGTAGTCAACCCAATCCCACTCCAACTCTTAGCTTTCCACCTGAGGCACCTCTCAGAACGACACACTCAAAAGAAACATTTCAACTCCAAAAGCATTGCTAAGATGTATTTTGCTGAAAGTTCTTCCTCAAAATCCTCTTTAATTACCTTTGCTCTTTCCCCAAAGTTCATTTCCCCAGGGTAGTGGCCACATTTCTTTTTCCTATTTTCACCAATTTCTCTGGTCTCCTCTTCCACACCCTCTCAAAATCCTATTTCTTTGTACCCAAAAAAACAAATGTCCCAGAGTAGGCCAAAACCCAACAAGGTTCCAGTCCATAACAGAAATCTTAATACAGTATTTTACTTCTAACTCCTTTAAGACTTCTGATAAACCCAAGCTCTAGAAAACTCTAGTTCAACTGATAAAGATTTTATAAAGCACCCTTCCTATCAAGTTTTCTCTGCCCTGCTCCAAAGCCAGTTCCATATGGAGCCAACATAATTGATGAGGATATGCAATATGTAATCTCATTTTGTTTCCAATTGTATTTAGTGTATCACATGTATGATTAAGAGGCTAACTGGAATTACATATGCAAACATATTAAAAGTACACATCTCAATACCCACCTTCCAAACTGTGTAATTTTGATTTAGATTCATTTCATCATGAAAAGAACAGAATTATTTTAGCCCACTTAGTTTCTGAAAGTTTTCAAAGTTCTTTATATATAGAATCTCAATCTTTTGTCAACAAACAGGGAATAACTTACTTGCCAGAGTAAGAAAATTGAGTGAGGGAAAGAAAGGGTAGCTCCTTATGCAGTTAAAGCAAACATCTGACATCAGTCATTAATCCATGTACTCATCCAGATAATGGAATTTAGAATCTAAATTACTATGAAGTTATTATAGATGATCATTTGCCCAGAATCAGTGATTTGGTATGACAACACCATTTTTGAACTTAAGGTGTAATCTGTGATTTTTCAATAAATTTATCTTGAAAAAATAATAATATTCCATAAAGAATAACAAACAACTAAGATAGCAAAGGTAAAACCAAGCTATGCATGAGAAAAAACAATTCTAAATTTAGCACCCTAAATTACATCAAGGAAAGCCCTCACACCACCATTCACAAGTCTCAGTTCAAGCAACTTATTTTTGGCAAGACAAATCACAGCTGTCAACGCTGGTTTTTTTCCATCCCAAAATTACACAAAGTATTTTGAAAAAATGTAGACATCTTCAGCTGGGGGAAAAGTAAGTTAAAACCGCCGTGTGTCGTTATAAATGCTTTAAAAAGAAGTCACACGGAAGGGGGTTAAAAAAAAAAAAAGCAAACAAACAAACCCTGGAAGATGCAGCAGAGCCCCCTTGCTCCCGAAATAAAACTCCTGGTGGCTGTAACAGCAGCGGCAGCGCTACTCCCGACAGAAGTTTTCAGCTGTCACTTCTAACAGCTGAGCGCTTCCTAGGAGAGAAGCGACAGGCCGAGAAGAGAGGTGGTTGTGGGAGGTCTGAAGATTTAATATTTGAAATCTTACACTCGAAGGGTAACCCTTCCGCACTTCACCTGCACTTACGGGACACCCAGCAAGCGCAGTCCCCCTCCCCCAACACACGCTACACCACTAGCGGCCCGCCACACTCAAGTCCAACAGCTGGAGGGATCGACCACGCGTCCTTTCTCGTTCCCTCCACAGACTGCTCCAGGCTGCGCTGATCTGGGGCTAGGGGCGCGACCTGCACCTGCAAACCCCACAGCGGCCTCACACCTAGGGCCAGGTCCGCCCCACCCGCTCCCCTGCCTCGGGCCGCGGGGCGCTTCGGCTCCTCCAGGAGACTACTCGCGCCCCCTGGGTCTCCGCGCTCTCGGACGCGCCCGGCTTCCAGGGCCCGCGCCGCCGCCCTGGCCCTGTCACCTCGGGCCCCCCGGGACCCCGGGCCTCACCCCCTCCTCCAGCTCATCCTCAGAGCCCGCGTCCTCTGGCTGGTCTAGGTCTATGTCAAACACTCCTGCCATGTCCTCAGCTTCCCTGTCTCGGAAGTCTGGCGCTGGGTAAAAGCCGTCCCGCCTCCGTCGTCGCCTCATGGGCCCGGACCCGCCGCAGCCACCGCCGCCGCTGCCGCCATCACCGGCTGCTTGGGCTCAGTGCGTCTGCGCCTAGGCCTTAGACTGGCTCCTCAAGTTCAGCGCTAGAGCATGCGCACAGGGTTCTGTGAAGCCAAACCGTGGGCAATGAACATGCGTAGAACTATCGCCGAGAGCCAGGTGCTGGCGGAAACATGCGCAGAACCCCAGCCGAAGCCTCTCCTGGAAGCTAGACCATGCGCATTGTCAGCTAAAGCTTTTGATGGACAGTGAGCATGCGTACCGTATCTGAGGTTGATAAATTGAAATTGAACATGCGTAATTAACCTTTCTGAATAGGAAAAAAAAAACACAACATAACTCTTCATTTGTGGAACATGCGCATTCGTTCTCCCTAGCTTTTTGGGAGTTGAAAGTGAGCATGCGCATAATCGCTCTCTGACGTTTGAACGGGACAGAAACGGCTGGTCTTGGGGTTGTCAGTGAGTTAATGGGGAACTCCTAGGGTTGGTGGGGAAAGGGAGAGTCTTGGCTTTGATAGTTACTAGTTCAGTGGCCTTGCGAAAGTCACATAGCCTTCAGAGCCTCAGTTTCCTTATCAATAAAATGAGAATAGTGATACCCAGTTTGTTGGGCTGACAATTTCAAGTACAGAGTATGGTTCACAAGCCACTGCTCTTTCCACTACTGCATAGACGTGGTGTGAGGTATTTACCAAAAATTGTCTCTTTTCATTGTTAAAAAATAATGAAGACTTGCTCTAGTATTTCATCTGGTCTAGTTTTTCCAGGCTTTTCCTTGCTGTCCTACCTAAACTAAATACAAAGTCTTTCTTAAAAGTGTTAACTGTAGTTACCAGGGCAGAAAGGTGATTTGGTGGAGAAAGCCATTATTTGGAAAATAGAAAATTAACATTAACTAAATGTACAATTGCTGAGCTAACTTCTGCGTTCTATGTGTCCCTGTGGTGAGAAGTATATACTGTTAATTCTTTCATTCATTTTGCTTTATTTTGTTTTAAATGTGTATATAGGAAAATAGTGAATACAAATCAGATTCTGGAAACTATTGAGCTTTGTATAAGTGGATTTGGGTATATTAAATCCAAAAACCATATAGAGAAAGAGAACAACTTGCTTGAATGATTGGCTCCTTAGACAACATAACTATTTCATCTATAACACCATATACATATATGATATTTTAAAATTATGTATTTTTATTGATATAAACACATATTGCATTTTATTCTTTAGTAGTAATGTAGTGGTTCTCAAAGTCTATATTTTTTTATTACAGGTTGCTCAATTTTTTGAGGAAATAGGCCTAGAGTGTGTCTCAGCATGTCAATAGTAACACTGCAACTTGGTCAGTGTGGCAATCAGATTGGTTTTGAAGTGTTCGATGCTTTATTTAGTGATGCACACTATCACCAGGGACTCTGCTCTAAAAGAGAGAATGAGGCCTATCAGGCATCTTGCAAAGAAAGATTCTTCAGTGAGGAAGAAAATGGAGGTACGTGTGGTCCACGGCCCTCTCCTTCACTGTGATGTAACCAACCACTTCAAGTCCAGGCCATCCACATGATGTCTGAACCCAGTCCCTTCCCATTTTAGTAGGGAATGACTTTTGTTCTTGACCCTTTGTTTCTATGTTAACAACCTTTGCCTCTCAGCACAAGAGCATGCTCAGATCTTGCCAATCTAACAACAAACAAAACTTATCTTTTGACTATAGCTTTTTCCTTCTTTCTTACCTCTTTGCCTTCTCATCTAAGGTTCCCAAAGGAGAACCCTCTTTAACCAACTGTAATCCTGCTTCTGCCCTAAACCACTAAAGCTGCTCTAGGAAACGTTCCCAATGATTTCCTAATTACCAGATCCAATGACTATTTTTCTTTTCTTAATTCACTTAACTTTTTTGTGGGGTTTGATAACATTAACTATAAAACGCCCTCCCTGAAACTCCTTTTCCTTAGTGTCTGAACTTTTCTTCTCCGGTGGTTGCATCTCAGGCTCTACTCTGTCCTCACTTGTATAGTTCTCTCTGGGCAATTTTAATTACTCTTGTAATTTGCTACATCTTTTACACCATGACTTTCAAATCTCTAGCCTAGCCTCTCTTCCAAGCTGCAGACTGATTTAGTGGACATCTCCACCTGTATCTCCCATGTGTACCTCAAACTCAACATCTCCATACCCAAGAGCATTCATTATCTTTCCTTTAAAGAGCCTCTTGGGCTCTCACTGCCCACATACCATCAGACATCAAGATATGCTTAATTTATCAGCTACATATCTCTTGAAATTCTTCTCTCCGTTCCATCTTCACTGTCATTGCCTTAGTTCTGGCTGTAGTCTTCTCTCACATGGACTGTTTCAAAACACTCCTCCTGAGTTTCCTTGTCTAGACTCTTGTATCTATCACATCTATCTTCCACACTGCTATATCAAAAAAGATGTCTGACTATTCTTCCCCTGCTTGAACATTTTCAATGGTTTCACATTACCTAAAAGATAAATTTCAAGTTTTGATTGCATACAAGAACTTCCAAGATCTGAGCCCTGCCTGTTTTTCATTCCCATTCATCACTTTTTCTACCTCCTTGTTCTCCATCTTGTGCTTCAACAATCCTAAACTGCTTGTTCTGTCAGGGTATTTTGTCCCTCTGAATATGCTACTCTGTTGGTGTGGATTTGTTATGGGTCATATCACATGATACAGTGACTAAGCGTTGATGTGTTTCATTTCTCCCACTATCCTTCTAGAGCTAGATTGATGTGGTCTTCATCTCTATGTTCCCAGCACAGTACATGGCACATTGTAAGCATTCAGCAGATGTTTGTAGACCTGACCCTGTGATCATTTTAGCCCACACTGATTCATCTTGCTTAGCAGAATGCTAGGCATTATGAAACATCTATATATACCTGCAGCTGCCCACCTCAGTTTCTAAGCAGTATGATGGACCTTTCTATCCTTAACCTTTGTTTTTTTTGTTTTGTTTTGTTTTTTGTTTTGGACTTAGAAGTTTATGCTTTGTGTTAACCCAAATAAGAAATATGAAATATTTTTCTTTTGATTTTTTTTTCCCCTCTCCAGTTCCAATTGCCCGAGCTGTACTTGTTGACATGGAACCTAAAGTTATCAATCAAACACTATCAAAGGCTGCCCAGTCTGGCAGATGGAAATATGGCCAACATTCATGCTTCTGTCAAAAACAAGGTTCTGGAAATAACTGGGCATACGGGTAAGACTAATTCATCACGAATTTCATAGTCATATTCAATGTAGTTTCATACATAGTCAATTAATAGAGTGTAGTTACAGCTACACAATTGGTATACTGAGCACATAGTCTTAAAATTGCTGTTTTAAAATTTAGGGTGTGACTTCACCCAAAAGAAACTTTCATTCCATCTCATGTATGTCTGTGCTTCAGGTACAGGTAATAAAACCAAAGATCTCTTGCAGCAGAATTTTTCACTTCTTCACTGTTGTTCTGCCAGCTAACTTATTATCAATATAATATCTTTATCTGGCAGATATTCCAGCTAATAAGGAATACAACAAGGCAGTAGTATTTCCTGGTGTTCTTTGGAAAATTTGAGTGCTTAGGGCTCAATTCAAGAAATTTTGAGTTAATTGGTTTGGGATGAGCCCAAATGTTGAGATTCTTCGGAGCTTCTCTAGGTGATTGTAATGTGCAGCAAAGTTCAAGAACCACTGCTTTAGGAGTATTGTTATGAGAATTGATTATGTTGTATCATAAACTAACAGGACTACCTGGTAATTGAAGTCTATTGCTAAATGAATGGCCTATAAAAAGGAATTTCTGTACCCAGTAAATTCACTCTCTTAGCAGTCCTATTTACCTGTTAGATATTTTTAACTTGTATATTTTAAATTATGTGCTTTTCATGAGAGTTCACTTTCATAGGTTTAAAAAGCCTTCTCTATCCTATATCTTTCTACTTTACATCTGTCTGGTTAAATTTAAAGGTGTTTGTATCTGTTCTTTTTGCATTGCATAGTTACTCTGTTCATGGACCCAGGCATGAAGAATCTATAATGAACCTAATTCAGAAAGAAGTGGAAAAATGTGACTCATTAAGTGGTTTTTTCATCATAATGAGTATGGCTGGGGGCACAGGATCAGGGTTAGGAGCCTTCGTTACACAGAATTTACAAGATCAGTACTCCAACTCTTTGAAAATGAATCAGATTATATGGCCTTATGGAACTGGTGAGGTACGAACACATTAATTGAAATTTTTATATTTCGTATTCTTTGCAGTTAAAATCAATGTAGGTAAAAGATTGATCTGACCCTTTCTTTGGAAATGTTAAACTACTACGTCAGGAGTGATTATACCGTCTGGTAATTGCATAAACAATTCATTTAACTTTGCTTAAACTTTTTCAAACAAATGAAGTGTCCTTGTTTTTAAAAATTCCAAAGAAGGCAATTGTGCATTTCTTCTTAAGAACCCATTCCTGGGTTAGTCTCTCTGGCTCTGGCGACAGTATGTAAAGCAGGGACTTTGACCTCATGTTGAGGTTCAGCATGCCATTGCCAACCTTCAGAGACTTTTCGTTTCTTTCTATTAAGAGGAAATTTCTACCTAGGCCAACTTCCTGTTGACCAACCTAGTGGGAGAAATAAAAAAAAAAAAAAAAAGGTGCGATAAGTCACTATAGGAAATGATTTAGGAATAAAGTATAATAGTAGTGGTTACCATTTATTGAAACCTTACTATATACAGGGCACTGTTCTAAGTTCTTTATTTGCATTCTATCATTAACTTTTACAACTCTAGGAGGCTGGTATAATTGTTATTCCCACTTTACAAATGAGGAAACTGAGGCATAGAGAGATTAAATAACTTTTCCAAGATCATATAGCTAAAAGGTGACAGAGCAAGATTTGATCTCAGGCAAGATGCCCTTTAAAAAATCTACCCCGTTAACCGCTGTTCTCTCCTGCCTTTCTTATTTCTGACCTTTTTCTCTCCAGGTTATTGTTCAGAACTACAACTCCATTTTGACTCTTTCTCACTTGTACCGATCTTCAGACGCCCTCCTTGTTCATGAGAATGATGCTGTTCATAAGATCTGTGCGAAACTGATGAATATCAAGCAGATCTCCTTTAGCGATATAAATCAAGTCCTCGCCCATCAGCTGGGAAGTGTGTTCCAGCCGACTTATAGTGTGGAAGGCTCATTTCACTACAGAAGAAATCCTTTAGGTATTTGTCCTCCTCTATGTTATTTGTAGTAAAGTCTTATGTTCTGAAAGCCTCAAAGTTATCTTTCATAGACTCCTCCCCTCTGCCTGAAGATACACTTGGGTCCCCCTCATCTCAGCAACCTTCCTAAAGAGCTGCTTAGCTCTCTGAACTGTCTTATTGAAAAGTTTTGAGAAGTTACTAAGTTTCTCAAAAGAGTGGTAGATACACATTGACTCCATTCTTCAAGATTCTTTCTTTTTTTTTTTATAAAAACTTTGAGATATAATTCACATACCATACAATTCACCCATTTAAGGGTTTTCTTTTTCAGCATATTCACAAAGTTATTCAACTATCATTTTCATCACTCCATAAAGAAACCCACTATTCTTTTTTCAGCTTATTCAGCAAGTGGTGCCTTATCAATTCAAATCATCTAGATCTAAACAACTCCATAATTTATGCCCCCTAGTCCTAATCTCTTTTCCAAATAGTACCAGTCCCAGTTTTCTTAGTTGCCTTCTGCTTCTTCAAATTCAGCATGTTCTGAATGGATCTACCATTTTTTTCCTGTCTTCTTTCCCCTACCCTGTCTTCCTCAATTCCTGTCACCTGATTTCTCCTACTGTCCTCATATCTCATCAGTAGGCTCAGACTTGTAGGCGCCATCTGTCAGTATTCTTCCCCTTCTTCCCTATCTCTCTGACATTGGTTCAGGGTAACAATATCTCTCAATTAATATTGTGTACAAATACGAGGCAAACCAGCCTTGTTCTAGTCTTTCTCCCACCCCTTCCCAGATAGTGCCACTGTAACTAGCACCACGTGTTTCTTTAGAGAGGGATTCTGTCATGTGCATGTTTTGTACTCCCCACTAATTTGCAGACCTGCGTCTTGTTCATTTCTGTACATTTCACCATACTTACCATATCGTACATCTGTTCATTCAACTAATATTTATTGACTGCCTGCCAGGAACCAGGCACTATGCTAAATGTTGGGCATCCATTGGGAAGCCAATGCAGATGTCGTGTTTACTGTGAAGGAGAGACATTAAACAAATAATTACACTAAGAATATATAACTAAAAACTGAGTTAAATGCTCTGAGGGGAAGGAGAACAGTTCCAAGAGAATGTGTCTTGAAAGAACCAGACGTAGAGGGGGCAGGGAATAAGACTCAAGCCAGGAGCTGGATGAGGATTTGGAGTTGACTAAGCAAAGGGAAGGAGATGGGAATAAGGTGTGCAGAGAGAATAGCACGTGCAAAGGCCATGTGGCTAAAGTAAGCGTAGCATATCAAAACCAGAGAGCAATCCAGTATCATTGGAGCACAGAGAGTGATGTAGGAGATGATTGGAATCTGAGGCTAGAGTGGTGAGCATGGGCAGAACTTGCAGATCCTTGTAAGCCATTTAAAGGCCTTCCTCATCAACCTAAGCATAGGGGAAAGCCATTGAAAGATTTTAAGCAGGTTGGTGACATAATCACTCTTACTCTTGAAAAGGTCCACCGCACTGCCTGTTGAGAGCTGTTTGGAGGTTGCATCTGAAGACTGGTGCAGTCATTCCCTGGAGAGGCTGTGATGGCTTTATCTCACTGAACTGTACTAAGAAAATAGAGGTGGTTAATTAGATGGGAGCTCCCTTGACTCCTACCACCATCTCTACAAATTTTACTGCACTAGGCCCACATTTGCATTTCGCCTTGTTTCACAGTGGGAGAAGTCCTGCTCCTATTAAAAGCCAACTTCTCACGTGGGTTCTGGGACCCATAACTTATCCCTTCTCAGGGACTTAATTCCTCACTCATCTCTCATCCTCCCACATCATTAATTTATGCCTCTTTCATGGCTTACTCCCCTTACAACTACTTTTTGGCATCTCTCACGCTGGAAAAATGCTGTCTTGACATCACCTCTATTGATTGTACCGTTTGTCTATTATTTAGAATAACTATCCTCAAAGGGCTGTCTATCCTAGCTGTCTTCATTTCCTCACCATCTATTTGCTCCTCAGCCCATACTGATCTAGTTTTTCCCCATCTCGTTTCTGAAATTGCTTTTTAAAGTCACAGGCATGTCCACATTGCCAAATTCAGTGGATACTTTACTGCCCTCATTTCCATCAACCTCTCAGTAGAATGTGACATGGCTTACCTCTTGTCTTCCAAGTTTCCTCTTTGTCTTTGGTGACACCCCCTCTCCTGATTTTCCTCCTATCTCCAAGACTACTTTTTTTGTTCCCCTCTTTTCCTCCTTTTTCAGCTCCTCCTCCTTTTCCCAAACTCAAAATGTTAGTTTTGGGCCCTCTTCTCAGATGACTGACCTAGTTCCATGGCTTTAAACACCATTTGCTGACTTTCGTTTGTTTGTTAGTGCTATGCAATAAAATCAGCTCTAGGTATATTACAGAAAAGGATTCTTATGCTTAGAGGAAACTCCACTAGCTGTAAGATCATTTGCACAGCAATTCATAGATGTTATATCAAAATTGGTTCTTTTCATTAGGCCATAGTATATGAGTTTGCACTCAATGTTATCGTTAAATTTATCTTTCATGTTATGGTAATATGTTTTTTCCTCTCTATGTATTTTCTTTAAATATATAAAACAGCTCTGAATGCAAAATAAATTAGCCTTTCTCCTTAATTTTGTTTCATTACAAATACAGATTTCTAAAGGCAGACATATTCCTGCCTTCAAGAATTACTAATCCTGTCTTCTTCTCTAGTACAGTTTGATGTAAATAGGTTCTGATTATCATTTAACTAGATAAAATAAATGTGAGATCTAGGAAATTTTCTAAAGGAATATTTAGTGAACACAGAATGACAACAAAAACATATTAACTCTCATGCTTACTTTGTTTTCCTGGGGTTTAGCTAAATATTCATAGTTCTGGTTACTTGGCTTGTAAATTCTTGTTTCCTTTTTGGCAAAGTGTGGATTCTCACTCATGCTAAAATAGGTGCCAAAAATTAAGCAAATACGTAGTCTGTAATAGACATTGTCTCTGAAATTTTATTTACATTTTAAAATTTAAGCAATTCTAGACTTAGAGGAGAAAACACCCAAAGACCATCATATCATGGTTGTGTACAGGCCAACAGAAACAATGTGGAATTAAAATATTTAGTTCAGGTTTTTTTTTTCTTTACAGGAGACTTAATGGAGAATTTAGTTCCCCATCCTGAATTCAAGATGCTGGGTATTCGTAACATTCCTCAAATGTCTGAGAACTCACTGGCGTACAGCACATTTACTTGGGCTGGCCTCCTCAAGCATTTGAGACAGATGCTCATTTCAAATGCGAAAATGGAAGAAGGTAAAGGGTATTTTAAAAATACGTAGCCCACAAGCTGGGAAAAATGCCTTAACTAAAGTTCTCAGTAAAAACTGGCTTGGGCCAGTTGAAATAATGGTCCCTTCTTCTGCCCAGGGAGGTTCGTGCAAAAACTAACCAGTATATCACAGGCCTTCTCAGTCACATTTTCACAATGTCATTTCCCAAAAAAATTTGATGAGTGTGACATTTGTTTTTATTTTATTTTTATCAAAGTAATAGATGAACATAGTTTTAAAAAATCAAGTCAGAATTCATCTAAGTACATGCTTAAATCTGTTTTAATTTTTACAGATTTGAATTTATAAACATAAAATTTTTATAGATTTTATGTTTACATACATTTCGTTGTATGTGTATTATATCTCTATTTTTTAGAAAAGTCCTGCATGAATTTGTAATGAGGAAAACAGCAGTCTGTCCTACACTTCTCCACTGCCCAACCGATGCCCCGCTTTCAACGTTTTTAGCTGTTTCTTCTGGTATTCGCCTCTATATTTCTAAATATCTTACTTATGCTATTATTTGTTTTATTTTCCAGGTTTAGAAATTATCGGTTGCCTTCTAAATGTGAAAACTGAGGGTTGAATCTTCTTATACCTCCTCTACACACACACACACACACTTTGGGGTTAGATCGCTTTTCGGTGTTTGAATTACTTAAGCTATGTAAATATTATTCACAGTTGAGCCAGGTACTATATACACAGATTATATTTTATTTCAGGTACAGTTTATTTTTTCCTCCTAGAGTTAAATTATATTTATTTGGTCAATATTCTATGTACCTGTCAATAATCTATCCCTAAACTTTTCCATAAAAATGAATCCCTTAACATGTTCAAGCCCATCAAGTAATCTAATACTTTCATTATCTGCTTGGCGATGTCCCTTTAGGAGACCTTCATCCTCCTGTTCAGTCTGCACTGGTTGCTCTCCTGGCTTGATAAGCAACCAGCACTGGCATTTCTGCCTAATTCTGTATTCTATCTCGTTTCCTAGGTTTGATATCTTTCTCTCTCCTGGTTTATTCCCCATATTTCTATACCATACCCTCCATGAGCTTCCTAAGAGTACAAGGAAGGTAAAAATTTTAAGGCTGCAAATGTAATTATTCTGCCCTTACAGCACATTGATAGTTTGGCCAGGTACAGAATTTGAAGTTGGGAATCATTTTTACTTAGCATTTTGAAAGCATTGCTCTATTATCTTCCAGCTTCCAGTGTTACTGTTGAGAAGTCCTGTGTCAGTCTGATTCCTAATCCTGTTTTGTTCTCTCGTGAATCTTTTAGGGTTTTTCTCTTTGTTTCTAGCATTCTGGGATTCCTTAGTGTGGAAGTTTTATCTTGGTAGAATGTAAGCTTTACAAAGACAGGGGTTTTTATCTATTTTGTTTAATGCTATCTCTTCAGAGCCTGGAACAGTGGCCCAGCACGTAGTGTTGCCGAGTTTAGCCTTTCCTGAGCACAAACCTTTCAGAATGGAGGGGTGCGCCCCTCCTGCTGCAGGGAATGGGAAGGGTCTGTGGCTCTCACTGCTTCTCAGGTTTTTAGCAAATCCTCTTGTTTCTTCGTTTTTTTAGAAGTGCCTGGCCTGCTTCCAGGTCCTCCACTGTGGACAGAAGTTTCAGCTTTCCCTGGTTGCTAAGTTGCTAACCACTGGTTCATTTGCTTTCCAGCTTCTAAAATTTTGTTGCCATTATCTCCTCTCCCATTCCCTTTTTTCTTGCTTATGTCTTTTTTACAATCTCTGTATTATCTTGTTAGTGAGCTTTGAGGAGAGAGTGGCAGTAAACTGATATATTCAGTCTGTCATGTTTAACTGGAAATGACTACTTCATATTATTTTTGCAGCATGTATTTTACCACAAATTATACTAACTTAGGTTTCAATACTGTGGAAGTGGATTTCCTCTACATTTATTTGTAATACCTTATTTTTACAATTTTAGATTGTAGTGCCTGAGGTTTGGAGATAGTTCATATCTTAAATGCTTCCTGAAATTTTTGGTTACAGTATGTCTCTTTTTTCCTAGCAATACCTGTTAACATCTCAAGGATCACAGTATTCCTCAGGGTAGTGTGAGGCGTGCTGCCCTGGGCTCCCATGCAGAACTTTAAGATATTAATATTTTTTCACAGTTCTAAATGGAGCTTTGAACATATAAATGTTTGTATATATGCATGTGAATATATATGAATGAATACACACACACACACACACACACACATCACTCATCAGGTTGAAGAATGTAGTTTTAAATCTCATCAGATGTTTTCAGACTCCTCTATATGAAGATTGACCGCATTCATATTGCCATCAGCGACTGACTTGTTTCCCTAGGTCCTAGCAACAGGAAGAATGAGTGATCTAAGAGAGAACCAGGCAGAAATTACATTGCCTTTGATGACCTAGCTATGGAGGTCACACACCATCATTTCTGCACCATCCTTTTGATTTTTAAGGTTAGCCCTATCCCATGTGGGAGACCACACAAGGGCCTGAATACCAGGAGGCAAGGATCATTGAGGTTCATCTTGGAGGCCAGCTACCATTCTCTGTCCTCTGTTGCCTGATGAGTCATGTCCTCCCATATGCAGAATATATTTAACTCCTCCCAAGGACCCCAAAAGCTATGTCCCATTAGCACATTAGCCTAAAGTGCAGGATCCTGTCATCTAGAAGCAAGTCTGGGTGTGGATTTATACTTCTCAGGTGAGAGTTCTTGAGTACAGCTCTTTGAGTACAGTTCCTCCCAGCTGGCCCCAACAGATCCTGGTAGAACAGGCATAGGGTAACTGGTAGACACTCCTTTTAAAAAAATGGGTAAATGAAAAGCATGCAGGAGTCGTTGGTCCCTAACAATTCATCAGGGCATGTGCTGGCAGTTTCTTGATTAAAATGTAAGGCCTGGGAATAATTTTTCAGGGCTTTTCGCTTGCCCCTCTGAATCAAACAATTATAATATACTTGTTTATTTATTTTTATGTTTTATTTAAAATATTTTTTTAAATTTTATTAGTAGATTTGTTTTTCTAGTTTGGATTAATTCATGCATGTAAGAATAGAGTCAGTTCTAAAGCTCTCTATAAAAAGACATTTTAAAAATGAAACTGGCATCACATTGTATGTATCTTTTTCCATAACTTTTTTTCAACATAATATTTTGTGGCCTCCAATTCAGCACATTTAGACATGCCTTATTCACTTTAATAGCTACAGTTTTCTACTTACTATATATGTGCCTTAATTTATTATATGCACATAGATTAAAAAGTCAATTCTACAAAGCTGTTTGTTAAAACTATTAGTCCATAACCTTCCTCTATTTTCTCCTTTCCAGAGGCAACCATTTTTCAAAATTCTTTTGCTGGTTCTTTGACTGTTTTCAACTATTTGTTGCCGTTCATTGCTTTTTCAGTTATTTAGGTATTACCTATTTACTTCCCACTGTAGAGTTATGATTTAGATCTTTTTCCCCCAACACTGGCCCCTAAGGCCTACAGACAAGACACCCTTCTGTCTTGTCATCAGTCCAATATAGTAGTGTCATCACTGGGTTAAAGCAATATCCAGCTTTACACGATCAAGACCAAATAAATGCTAGTCACAGCTGAGCCCTGTAGTATCCTGTGATTACTTTTCTTTTCCTGTATAATTTTTTAAATTTTCTTCGGAGTTAATAATTGCCTTGTTTTCTTGTTTGCTTAGTTTTTCTATGTACTGTCAATTATTCAACCCTAATTATTTTTCTACTTGTCTAAATTTTTTCTCGATATATTGAAGTATTCTATCAGTTTCATCTTCTTTAAGAAATCACTCCTAGAGTCTTCTGACTTGCTTCAGTGTGGATTTCTTACTCTCTATAGCCAATGTACATTTGTCATCCTGGGTATTCTCTTTGCCTGTCTCCAATGTTGGATATTCTGCTCGGAGGGTTTAGACAAAGCCCCAGTGATCATGTTTTTCCTGGTTTTCACTTGATCTCTCTGGTTTCAGTGTGTACCCTACCCTTACCTCTGCCTGGTGTTCTCCAGACCAGAGACCCTCCGTCATATCTTCTCAAGAAAATAAACCCTTCGTTTTCTGCTAGGGTAGAGATGAGGCAGTCATCATGATAAACTGACAAGTTTAGCAACGTTTCTTAAGCAGGAGTCAAAGGTGAATGTGCTCTACATGATTGCAAAGCCAATTTAAGAGCTAATAACAGTGTTTTCATGGATTCCCTTAAAGAATGCTGTATTGCTGATGTTCTGGAGGCACAGAGGATAATGTGTGAGAATACAGGCATGATTAATGCTGTGTCAAAAAGTAATAGTCATTGAATGTGAAGACATTTTAGGAAAACCTTAACTAATTGATTTAGTTATATATAAGTATATATATTTAAAATCTAAACCTAATTTACTCTAAAAGAACTCTTTAAATAAGTATAAAATTTAATAATAGAAGTGAATAATTTAATTGATAATATTTTTTCTTATAATCAATGGTATCTTGGAAGGAAATGTAATATTATGGATTTATACCCTATTTTTGTTGCATGAATTACAAACATTTCTGTCCATCATTTTTGTCTTTCGTGTGATGTTTTTCACCATATGGAAGTTTTACATTTTTATGCAAGCAAAGCTATAAATCTTCCTTTATAGATTCTGAGCCTTGCCTACTCCAAAGATATAAAAATATTCTCTATTGTTTCCCAGTATTTTTTATCGTTTTATGTTTAATATTTAAATTTTAACCCATCTGGGATTTATTTTTAATTAATTTATTTTTATTTCTTTAATGTTACCACATATTTGACCCCTTCTACCCCATCCACCTCACTCCTCCCCGCTCCCCCCTACTATTTTTATTTTTGATAATGCCTTCTTTGTTACTTCCTCTCCCATTTTAAATTTTATTTACTTAATTTTTCTTTTTTATTTTTTGAACATCAGTTTTTCAAGGGCCCAACTTTGGATTGGCTTCTTTTCTTTTTTTTCTTTTTGAAACTTTTAGAGTTGATTACCTTTATTTTTTAGTAATATAGAGTGAAGAATTATCTAACAAATAGAGCTTTGACAGCATGTGATATATTTTTTTGCATGTCATTTTTAATGGTTTTATTGAAGTATAATTTATATATCATATACTTCACCTATTATGAGTACAGTTCAATGATTTTTTTAGTAAATTTGTAGTTGTGCAACTATTATCACAATCCAGTTTTAGAACATTTCTGCCACTCCAAAAAAGTTCCTATATCCATTTGCATTCAATTTCCATTTTTATTCCTAGCCCCAACCAACCACTGATGTGCGTTTTGTCTCTTTAGATTTGCCTATTTTGGACATTTCATATAAGTGGAATTATATACTATATAGTCTTTTGTGTCTGACTTCTTTCATTTAACATAGCATTTTTAAGGTTTATCCATGTTGTAGCATATGTCACTAGTTCAGTCCTTTGTACTGTTGAATAGTATTCCATCGAATGGATATGTCACACTTTGTTTATATGTCCAACAGTTGATGGACATTAAGATTGTTTTCACTTTGTGACTATTATGAATAATGCCACTAAGAACATTCACATATAAGTCTTTGTGTGGACATATGTTTTCCGTCTCTTGCATATATACCTAGGAGACTCATTGCTAGGTTGAAGGATAAGTCTATGTTTAACCTTTTAAATAACTGCTAAACTCTTTTCCGTAGTGGCTGCACCATTTTACATTCCCACAAGCAGTTTAAGAGGGTTTCGGTTTTTCCACATCTTTGCCAACATCTGATATTGTGAGTCTTTTTGAGTGTAGCCATTCTAATAGATGTACAGTAGTGTCTTCTTGTGGTTTCAATTTGTATTTTCCTAATGACAGTATTGTTGAGAATTTTTTCATGTGCTTATTAGTCATCTGTTAATCTTCATTGGCGAAATTTTTATTCAAATACCTTTCCAATTTTTAAATTAGCCTTGTCTTATTGAGTTCAGCATACCAAAACTTTTGATTTGTTGTATTTCCATTTTTGCTGAAAATCCATCTGTTACTGCACACTGAATTTTATCCCTATCCTATGTATAATTTAAGAATATTTTCTTGATATTTCTACATGACTAGTCAATTTGCAATCCTATTTTGGTTTTATGTTTCTACATTCCTTAACATTTTTGTATGTTTTTTGTTAGTTTGTTCATAATGGTATATAAACTTCACCCATTTTAGGCGTATAGTCCTGTCAATTCTGACAAACATACAGTGTGTAACCATTACCACAATTGAGATAGAGTATTTCCATCATCTCAGAAAGTTCCTTCATACCCTTAGTAGGCATTCTCTTCCCTCTACCCCTAGTCCCTAGCAACTACTGATCTGAATTTTATTCCTATGGTTTTGCCTTTTCTAGTTCTATAAATGGAATCATACAATATGTAATCTTTTGAGTCAGGCTTATTTCACTCAGCATAATGCTTTTGAGATTTATCCATGTTGTTATGTGTATCAGGAGTTACTTTCTTTTTATTGCTGAGTTGAATTCCATGCACCTACCCCTATCCTTTAATAGTCAATGAAGAATATTTCATGCCTTTCTCAGGACTGAGTAGTTTGGATTACTTTAGGTCTACTGGATAAGGATTTTTTTAAACTTTCATCGGACAAAAAAACAACAACAAACTTTTAGTTATCAAATAAAAATACATATAAAATGCACATACCATTATACACATTTCTCTTGTTCAAAGCCATTTATAAAGTCTCTTGCTTTTTTTCTTTTGGTAGGTATCAATTGGCATGTACGGCCTCCTGTATCAGGACTTCCTACTCTCAGTAAGGAGCTCCATTTTAACACTTCCATTGCTAACTTAGTTATCCTTCGTGGGAAAAGTGTGCACAGTGCGGATCTGGGTGAGCAGAAGTTAAAGTGAAAATTAAGATGTACATTTGGCACATATCCATGGTACACATGATAAAAAAGGAGAAAAACGTCCCCGAATTTATTTTTAGAGAAAGGAAAATAATAACTGTATGTTTTAGTAGCAAAATGTAACCATTTTATCAGTTAGTATGTGACTGAACACCAAAATAGAAGTGGTTTAAACAAGATACAAGTTTAATTCTTTCTTCCTGAATATGGTTGCTCTGTTGTCCTTACCTTGTGGCTTCCTCCTTTTAGTCTAAGACATGTGTTTGAGTTTCAGCCATCAAATCACACAGGAATAAGCAAAGAAGGCATACCTCCTTCTCCTAGGGTCACACACCACACTTGTATTTATATCCCTTTGACTGGAACTGAATCATTATGTGCTACACTTAGCTGCAATGGTGACCATGAGCACAGTTAAAATTTTGGAATTTGTTTACTAAAGAAGAGAACAGGTATTGTGAGACAACTAATGTTATCTTTGCCAAGTATTTTGTTACAACATTTTCACAAAGTTGAAAGAGCAATACTCTTGACAAGTGTCTAGGTTTATATTATCCTTATTTGGTGATTTCAGCAATATCAAATTGGCTATAAAGAAAACCAAACAATCTAGTTCTGATAATACCCCTTAGATAAAAAAAAAAACTAGTAACAATTAAAAAGAGGTCACTTCAAGTCGATCAGATGGTGTACTTTCTTCATAGTCTTCATCGTAGATTTTAAAATGAGAATAAAAGGATATATAATCTAACTTCTAAAAACTTACCCACAGCAAACGACACAGGTGCATAGAAGTGTTCTTACATTGACAGTCATTGCAGTATCTTTCACACTAACAAATATGTGGAAATAACCTAAATGTCCAAACAGTAGGAAATGTGTTAAATAAATTATGGCATATTCATGTAAGGAGCCTTTAAATATGAGTGATATTATTATAATAGAAAAGTAGTTCACAACATACTGGTAAATGAAAAATGCAGACTACAGAAGAGCATGTATGTAAAATTACACAAGAGAGTCAGCAAACTATTCATGGTCATTATTTCTGCATAGTGGCATTTCATCTGTTCAGCTGACTTAAATTTTCTTTGTAATAAAATTTTCTAAATGTGAATTATTCCTTCTATTTAATGATGAATATGAATCATTTATCCAAAAGCAATATAAAGCTAGTTTTAAAAAAGCAAAATAAAAGGAGATTTTTGGTGAAATGGATAAGAAAATATTCCTTTATTAATTTGTTTCCAAAATTAATGATTTATTCTGTTAACAATGGCTTATGTTATTTTACTCTAGGGGGATTTAAAGATCCAGCTCTCTATACTTCCTGGTTAGAGCCTGACAATGCTTTCAGTGTGTGGAAAACCCAGCGAGCCTTTAGCAAATATGAAAAGTCTGCAGCGTTGGTCAGCAATAGCCAGTTCTTAGTTAAACCACTTGATATGATTGTGGGCAAAGCATGGAATATGTTTGCTTCAAAGTAAGTAAAAGATAAATCTATAAATCTTTCTAACCTTAGATAATACAATGTTAAAACACAAAGCAGAATTTGGAGTGTCTTTGGTCTATTTGGGATGCTATAACAAAAATAGCAGAGACTGGGTAGGTAGCTTATAAAGAACAGAAATTTACTTCTCACATTTCTGGAGATTGGGAAGTCTAAGATTAAGGTGCTGAGCAAGTGTTTTTCAGACAACACTTAATTTGCCAGATGTTTTGATGTCTGGAGAAGACCCACTTACTGGTTCATGGGTGGTGTCTTTTCCCTCTGTCCTCAAATGGCAGAAAAGGCAAAAGAGCTTTCATGGTCCTCTTTTAGATGGGCACGAATCCCATTCACAAGAGCTCCACCCTCATGACCTAATCACCGCCTAAAGGCCTCATCTATAATACCAGCACCTTGGGGGTTAGGATTCCAACATGTGAATTTGGGGGGAATATAGACATTCAGTCTATAGCATGGAATAAGCATGGCCCCCACTTTGTAGGTATGAAACTGTAGTCGTGTTACTTCAGGCTTCATTTCCTGATTGGTACAATGCGTCCAAACTGAGAGGATCTGTAGTGAGGATTAAATGAGATAATCATGTAAAAATACCTGACTAGTTAATGCTTAATAATTTTTTGATATTATGATTGTTGATTAAATGAGTAATTTCTAAATGAAATGAGAGTATAGTAGAAATTTCATTACAAGGCAGGGACAATAAGATAGTTTTCCAAAACAAGATCCTTAGAAGAATGGAAGAGATCCTAATCTTGCTCAGTAAGAAATCCTACACGTTCAACTCCACTTGATACAAAGAAATGTATTATCAGGTTTCCTGACCTCTGCCACAATTAATTAATGTCGAAGCAAAATTCCTCAAATGATTGGACAATGCCTCTACTTGGATTAGGTAGGATTCCTAATGGCCCCCCATCCTGCACATGGCCAGTCTAAGACCCCTACTCCTCAGGACCGTGAACTCTGCCCTTTTCTGGTATACATTCTCTTTCCACTCATTAAATGATAGTAGCCATTATTACATCAACTTAATTTATGTCTGCCTTGCTATGCATTTTAACACGAGTCTCCTGCCTCAGAACATTTTGCAGGGGTAGAGGTATCAAGAAAACCTGGCATAACTGCAAATTAAGTGTTGTCTGAAAAACACTTGGAAGGCTTCACCTTATTCCTAGTACTGGATTAATGTGTTTCTACAGTTTCAAGCTTTACATAAAACTTCTCAGGCACTTTTCAGGGTTTATATTAAACCCCATCACCTCCTTTAGGGTGTTGATTATGTGCTAGGTGGACAACCAAATCTGAACCTGCTTCTTTTTCCTATGTGCTGCTTTTTGTCATTCTCTTGGGTGCTAAAAAGACAGGCAGCCTGCATAAACTTTGAAAGTTTGCTAATCTTTGAAGCAAGTATAAAACTTAAGAAATTCTCTCATCTTAAAATGTTCATGAGCTGGGGAAGGCATATTTATTGTATGATTTTTATGAATTATTCATTTGCCTGAGATTTTTTTATTTTACATTTTGTTTCTTTTACCAGAGCCTACATTCATCAGTACACAAAATTTGGAATTGAAGAAGAGGACTTTTTGGACAGTTTCACACTGTTAGAACAGGTTATTGCCAGTTACTGCAACCTCCGATTTTGAACAAAGGGGGAAAAGTACCTTACATCATTTTTGGACTAAAATATTTTCCATATTGCTTTCCCTATAAGGTTTCAAACGACAAAGTAATATGCTGATTCCTTCTGTATACTATGCCCACAGAACAGGAGGAAAACCTTTTAAATGGAGAAAATAGCATGTTTTCAATGAAAACATCTACTTGGTATTTTCATTTGTAAGAAAAAAATTGGTGCTTCTATAAGAACTTTGGAAATACTTTGCTGAGGTGTTAGAACTCTGGAACTATCTCAAAAAGGGAATATTCTGTTTTGTCCCTAAATTCCTAACTCTTCCTTCTCTATTCCAAAAAGGATTCACTAAATATGAGCTAAACTTTCGCAGCACAATTTTAAGCTAAGAAATTGCAATTCTGTATATAAATGTATTCATCTCTGAAATGAATGCTTTGAACCACAAGAGGGAGCTGTTGTTAAACTCTATAGTGTGAACCTCTCTTGAATATTCTATAACAGGTAAGATTTTCCACTTTAAGCAACTACTTAAATATAAATTTCAGGATTTTGTTAATAAATGTACATCATGTTTAAATACTAAAGAAAATAAGTAAATGTTACTTCATTTGCTTTTCTTCAACTTTTTGGGCATAAGAAAATTGGGTCAGTTTTCTCTTAGACCTTAGAATACGAAGGCAGAAACTGATTTTAGTGCTTTAAAATTACTTATAGGTATTTAGCTGATGTGAAAGAAGGTTATATGATTTTCAGTAAAAGGCGTTAAGAGCTTTCACCAATATTTCACTAAGTTGAGAAAATTATCACGAAGGAAATACTGTGCTTGATGAAATTGGCACACTCAGGTTTCACTCAGAAGGACAAAACACACTTGGAAATTGGCAGCTGAATTTGAGGGGAGTGGTGTATTTCAGTTAAAGACATCACATGCAATATATTAACAAACGTAAAATGGAAAACAAATAGGAACATTTGCTTGCCCTTTCTGCCAAATCTACCAGTGGTGACTTATTTTTATTTGGAACAAAGACAGTTCACAGCTTCACTGGTTCTTCCTTTTCTTTCCATATGGAAATGATTACCTTTTTTGCTGTTTTTCTTATCAACTGTTGCTATGATTTAAAATACTGAACCATATCTTATTTCTAAAGAATGTAAAAAGTGGTCTGTTCAGCTGCTAAAAGGCACACCCCACTGCTGCATTTTGTTAACCCAAGTCTACTTGAAAAATAATTAGATCATAATTTTTATAAAATAAAGTTAAAAGTAATTGTTTAGCATTGAAGAGATCCAAAGACTACAGCCACCAAACGAAACCAGCATTATTGAAGATCTGTAACTGAATGACCTCCCCAGGGGTTAAGCTGATTATGAGGAAACTTGCTAAAAAGTTAAGCTTCAACAAAGTCATAAGTTTGAAATCATTTTATATTTGAGCAAGGTACCATGAAGTACCTTAGGGACAAGTCTATTTCTAATTTGGCAACTCATGGAATCAATGGCAGGTGAATATTGAAAGTAAACCCAATTAGGCAGAGCTCTGGGTCCATTCACTGATGTGAGTTGACCCTTTTTATGATCCACAACTATATTATTTGAGTGCAATGGATAAGCCTCGACCTGGGAAAACCACCTTCGTGATCATGGTATCTCCCATTATTTGATATGTGTGAACACCTAAATATTTACAAAGTTGTTTTAAACGTTTACATGGAAAATCTGTTCTTGTCTATTTGGAATAATATAAAATTTTTGCTGTTAGAGTTGGAATTTTAACTTGAAAATTAACACAAAGAAGCTGATTCCAAACTTCAAGATAAAGGGTGGCATTGGAAATGTACTTTGATTTGTGTGCACAAAATGGCTAATCAGCCAGGACAACATCAGAATCGTCACTTCCTAGGCATACAGATCCGGAAACTTTGAACATGTCATTGCTTAGATTACTGGGTAACTGGAGTACTATTTTCACTCAGACATTATCCCACGGAGCCAGGATGCACTCCTATAGGTAGTGAGTACAGTGTAATTCAGACTTTTTATTTTCAATCCTTTTCACTCTCCCCGATTTGTGTTTTCCTCAAGAACTCTAAACTCTAAAACCTGTTTCTTCCCATCACTTCCTCTTGCTTCTAGCTTTGGGTTCTCCCCTCCCGATACTATCCGATCTGCAACATCTTTCTCCTTTACTTAACCTGTCACTTAGAACTCAGTAAGTGTGCCACAGTTCACTGTTCTCAGTCAATTCATTCATTCAACCAATATCTATCTGTTCAGTGCTAGGCACTGAACAAAATATTAAAGATATAGAGATCAATACCATACAGTCTTAAATGAAGACGCTTACGATGTCTGGTGCTGCAATTCTAATTTCCTAATTATTGCTTATTATCTTGCCCATGTCCACATTCAACTTTTTTACAAGAAAGATGTGGTGGTATATGGGAAAGAACAATGAACTGGGAGCTCTAACCTAGGCGTTAAATTTGTCTGAAATATCTCCTCACTGGCTCTGCAGAATCTACTCTGAAATGTACATACCACTGATTCTTCTGACCACCATGCTTATCACACTTGAATTCTTCTCTAGAATTTTTAAAAATGTGTTCCATATGTTCCTATTTCAGTATTCTCTCCCCCATGAGCCCAGGGTTTGGCAGTCAACTCTTTGTTGTTTACCTACCTACTAAATATGGCTTTGCCAACTAACTTGTCATTTTCGGCAACTAATCAGTTAATGTAAGAGATATTTGCTAATCTGTATCAATCACATTGTTTCCTCTGAATTTTAGGAATGTGAGCTAAAGAACTTGTCTTTACATTTTTAATTAAATAATTTACTACTCCTGTACCCTGAAATGTTTCAGATGATACAATATCAGCCTTATTAGTAAGTGGAATTCCATTTCCACTAGCAAGAATGCTTGCACAAGGATTTAAGATAAAACAATGTAAATATTTCAAGTTTCTGGGGAACACAGTGTGGGGTCAGTGTTAGACAAGATATGGCATTCAAAGGAGAGAGTAAAGATAGAAAATCCGAATCATTTAGATTCTAGGGAGCCAGTGAAGCAGAAAGAGATGAAAAGGAGAGTTGGGGAAACTAATGATGCCCAAAAGAACTTCTAATAGCTTAGAAACATTTCTAAAAAAGACTTGCTGGTTTTCGAATTATGGACTTTACTGATGATGAAAAATCTGACAGCTTACAAGAATAGTTTAGAAAGAAACAGTAAGCTAAATTACATGTCACCTAGCAAATAATTCCATCTTACCTAAATTTATCTCCTTTGCCAATGATGGAGCCAATAAGATGTTTACTTTTATGGCTCTCTTCTTCTATTTCAATTTAATTATTTACATGGTACGTACACAAAAGTTCAAAGATTTTATACCCATGCTGCCCACTAACGTAGCCGTTAGCCTCATGCGGCTGGTGCTGTAAGTGTAAAATACACATTGGATTTCGAAGACAATATGAATAAAAGAATGTAAAATATTAATATTAATTGTTGAAATGACAGTTTGGACATATTAGGTTAAATAAATTATTTAAACTGGCATACCTGTTTCTTTTTAGATTTAAAAAATGTAGCTACTAAAATTTTAAAAATTAGATATGTGGTTTGCATTATGTTTCTATTGGAAAGGGCAATTCCAGACATTTCAGGAGCAAAGTCCTGGGAACTGGAGAAACGAGTTGAACAAAGCTTGTCCTTACTGGGTGAGAGAGGTCATAGGAACATGATAGTAAGAATCATGATATGAGGCAAAGGATACCTGTTTCCTTTTTGAAAAAAAAGAGGCCTTTGCTTAAGCTTGGCTCATGTGAACAGTATGAAAGAGACAGGATGTGAGCTTAATTCAGCAAACATCCATTGAACACCTGCAAGGAAAAACACCATTAGTAAAGGGAGATTTTAAAAATGAGTTAAACCTGGCCCCTGCCTTAAGGAGTTCACCATTTGGTTTATTCTTTGCTGCAAATCACATGCCTGGATCATGGCAGAAACTCCATGTTTACTGAACTGATTAATATTAATGTCTAAAATACTATGGAAAAGATGTAAAGCTGCAAAACTACAGGCACCCAGTGAAACCATTAAAGCTCCCATGTTAGCAAAAGATCTCACTATTAGATGAAACTAGGGAACCTGGAAATATAATTTAAAATATTTTGTTTCTGAGGCCATCTTTACATAATTAAAAGCCATTGAAGAAATATAAATTCAAACAATATATTAAGAGAATGGAGAATTGCCTTTGTTTTGAAATCCTTGCCTAAAATCTAAACTACTTGTTCTGGAATTCCAAGCCTGGAGTTTGGCCATTCCTTGTCTACACTGTCCCCCCTGCCTCCCCCAACCTTTTTTTTATTTTCAATTTTTAACTTTTTATTGTATAGCGTACACACAGAAAAGTACACATATGTGTATTGTGTACAGCTTGATGGGTTTTCATAAACAATGCACCAACATAACCAGTATACAGATAATAAAACAGAAGACTACCAGCACCCTACAGTCCCCTCTCATTACCCTTTCCAGTTAATACTCTGTCCCCTACAAGGACATCCACTATGGTGATTTCCATCATAGTTTAGTTTTGCGTAGTTTTGTATTAAATGTTAATAATAAATGTACTCGTGTCTGGCTCCTTATGTGAGATTCATCAATATTTGTGCATGTAACTGTATACTACTGTTAGTTCTCCCTGCTATAAAGCACTTTGGTGAATGAATATACCTGATGGGCTTTTGGACAGTTTCCAGTTTGGGGCTATTATCGAGTGCTGCTATGAACATTGTAATTACATCTTCTGATGAACACATATGCACATCATAGTTGGATATATTCCTGGGAGTGGAATTGCTGGGTCTTCAGGTTCCAGGAAGTGGAATTGCTTTCTTTCCACCTCCGTGAAATGAGAGATATGTCTCCTAAGGTAAAGGATAAGTTGCTGCATCTGGCCCCTCCTACAACCTTAAAAACAGGCACAATGCCTAGTGGCCAACTTAGATTTTGGAGTCAACATATTCCTTACTTGAGTATACTACTCCAGCCCATTTACCAAGTGACCTAAAAACTTCTGGTTTTGAAGTGGGTGGGGCGGGGGGTGGTGTCTCAGAACAAGAGAAGGCTCTGCAACAGGTACACACTACTGTGCAAGATACTCTGCCACTTCTACATGATTCAGCAGATCCAATGGTGCTTGAAGTGTCAGTGGCAGATAGAGATACTGTTTGGTGCCTTGAGAAATATCTTTAGGAAGAGAATACTTCTTTATAATAACACTTTTACTTTTCACTTGTCTAGTTCCTGGTGATGCTCTAATAATATATTACTGATGTATTTGAAAGAACCTCATTTGAAGAATTTTCTTGCAGACTTGACACAGGAACAATTTAATCTGAATTAACATGGTTGCTGACATTTGGAAATGGTTCTTCAAAAGTTGCTTTTTGCACTGAGGACAGATCAATCTCTAAACCAGCTGTTTGCGAAGATGAAATACGTGTTAACAGGCTTCTGCTTTTCTTATTACCAGGACTGGAAATTGTGTTCAGTGCAGGTTCCGGGGGCTGAAGCAGCAGAACTCTGGTAACTGATTTACCTGCAATGTCCCCTTCTCAGGGTGGCAGCCCAAAGTCTCATCCAGTCACTGCAGCTCAAGTCCAGCATCACCAAGTGAGGTGAAGTATTCTCCATCAGGTCTAGATGTGGCCCCTCATGGCCCAGCATCCTATTAAAATTCTTTGGAGAAGTCCCAAGATCACTTGGCTGGCAGATTCGTTGTTTGGAGAGCCCTCTTTCTCATTCATAGCCATGTTTTATTTTCACATGGCTGAGCCCCCTGTACCCTTTATGTGCTGTAGTAGCCAAGGCAGACAGAAATGACCATTACATGTTATGAAAAACACAGATTTGTCTATAGGGTAATGTTTAATTTTGTTTAGTAAGGACAGGGCTGAAGCAGTCTAACTCTGACCTGAGATATAGATAGATCAGAGACATGCCTAGTGATCCCGCCTGCCTGTTTTGCCGTAACTGCCAAGCCCTTAAGACCAAGAAGAATGGGAGGCTCAGAGAATTTTTGAGGACTGAAAGGATACACACTACGTTTCCGTAGGAATTTCTTTGGGGGAGTGTCTTTCTCAAGGAATTTTCTTCTTCTTTAGATTATGCATTTCTTTTGCTTGCATTTTTTAGAACAAAGCCTTAAAAACCCAATTCAAAGATAAAATAAATGAAATCAGAAGGCAAGTAACAAGGGCTGGAAGTAGTAAGCAACATATCATTGTTCTATAAAGTATCACTTAAATAGGGTGTAGGAACTACAGGGTGCTGCAGGTTTACTCAGGGGCAGAGGAGGAAGGGAGAAATCAGACTAACTTTGTGGTCCTATTGTCTCAACATGCTCTTCTAATGAATATAAGAGTCTGGGAGCAGCCTAAAAAGAAGTGTATACAGTAGGAGAGCTTTTGTGTATGGAAGAACTTTTTACTTCCACTTTGCAGAGACCAGGGTTATCTTTTAAGCTCAGACAGATTCTTTACGTTTGAAGAAAATGCAGAACATCTGAAAATTTCTTTGATCTCTACATTTTTCTAAAAGCACTATTTTTCAGCTTCCTTTTTTTTTTTTCCTTCTGAAATTGTGCAAAGCATTCTCACCCACATGCTTTTATCACACGGGTATCTCATTATGTCTGATTCCCTCAGAAAGCCAGGAATAGTGTCACCCCAGTTCTCCCAGGCTTTGAAAACTGTGGACCCACCTGAGAGTGGAATACTCGTTTGATTACTACACAAGTAAATCTTTTTTTTTTTTCTGAAC